GAATATAAAATGATGAATATTAATGTAAATATATATGTATGTCCTAATGAAATCAATAAAAAAACATTTAAAAACTTGAATACTGTATTTGTATTTAAGTGTTGGATTTGGCCTCTTTTGAAAATTGGTATTATTTTCACTATTTCATTTTCCTAATTTTTTTCCAAATATAGGAAGAATCCATTACATTTAAATTATCAGTAGCTTGTATTATTTCATTATTGTCTGTAAATAATAAATGTTGCTGTTTTCTATGAGACAGCCATTTAAAAAGTTATCACTGAGATTCTGTTCAAATCAAAAACATGGTTTATTTTACCCAGTAAAACTAGGTGGTTTTGCTTTTAGTCAAAGTGTGGTGGCATCAGTTTAATTCTTACTCAGATAAGCATATTTTACATTCTGTAACTTAAAAACACACCAGTTTAAAGCTCAATGGCTAATATTACCTTTTACAGTCATCATTCATGACTTCTATCAGGTCTTGGCAGAAATGAGTAATGTATTATCTCTAACCTCTTTCCTTCTCCTGTGTAGGAAAGGGCGGGTTTAGAAACACCCATGGATGTGAACTGGTCATTAGGAGAAGGAGGAAACAAATGTTTCTTAGGCTTAGAAGTAGTAGCGACTTGTAACTCTGCCAGTTCCATATCTGGGACATATGATTAGCTCTGTAAGATGCAACCCATTACAGATATTTCTCCCATCTCATTCACCCAATTTAGTTTAAATGTTATTGGGTAAATTCCTTAATAGGCAGTGTGTTTCAACTGAGTTAAATCAACATATTACCTGTGTATGTATGTGTGCACACATGCTATTTAAAACATTAATAGTGATAGACCAAACAACAACCCAACAACAACCCATAACTCTGAGTAAGTGGGACCAAGTGCAAGCAAATTTAAGCTGAAAGAGAGTATTATCCTGATAGTTAGCAATGACTTTCACTGAGAGCTAGGAAGGCAATGTTAAGTAGTTAGTATGAGGGCACTAAACCCCTGTTAGGGGATGAGTAGGTGGAGCTGGTATGGAAAAGGAAAGCAACATGTGCCAACTCCATTTTACTAATAACTTTTAGGAAACCTCTCAGTTGAGAAAAAGGCAGAACAGAGGTCATAAAGAGCTACAGAGCTGCAGACTGGCCATGGAGGAAGATGGCTGCAAACTACATCAAGGAGAGATTTCACTAGTGGGAATGAAGGGATAGAAATTGGCATTCAGTGTCTACTATGTGTCAAGAAAAATACACATACACACACACGTGTGTGTGTGTATACTTCTGTATATATTATATATTTCTACAAGGCCCACATTATCAATCTTAATCTTCAAATAGAAAAAACAGACTTGGAGAGTTCAATAACATACTAATGGTCACACAAGAAGCAAGAAGCACACCTGGACTGATGTCATCTGTTGAATGTTCTCATTTTTCATATGGAGAAAACAACAGGGAAGATAGAAGCATTCCAGATTAAAAAAAAAATCATGATATCTTTGAATGCAGAAGTAAGACAGACAGAGACTTACTCATTTCTTCCAGCTATTTAATGTTTGAATTGACTAGAACCCATCACTCCATCCAGTTTCAACTCAAGGAAAAAGAAGTAGGAATAACACCAAATATATTCCTCTGAGTGTCCCCATGAGCCCTCCTCCCAAAACACATTAATTTTAAAAACATAATATTGCTCAAAATGTACTGGTCAAATAATTGAATGCGTCTATTTGGCTATAGTACAAGACATACTTAGGAATAGGTTATATGTGGCATAATTTTGAAGATACTGGAAAAACACTGTGTCCAAAAAGAACTCTACCCTATCTTCTTTCCTATGACCTAAAATTTTATAAGTAGACATGCATATGTCTTTTATTAGAATGCATATACTCATGAAATTTAACGTAGGGTCACCTTTGTCTTATTTTGAATAACTTGTATTGCACTTTTTTTCCCAGAAAACTGCTTTTTATCATTGGGAAGAAACATATGATAGAAATGGGAGAAGGGACACGAGAGAGAGGAACGGTGGAGAGAAGTAAAAGAGGTGGAGATGATCAAGACTTTGTCATTCTGCTCAGGGCATATCCTGTTACATCACTTCACAAAAGGACATTGTGGGGGAAATGACTTCTAACTGATCACATTATATCTGAAAGTTCAACAAGGTTGAAATTTTACAAGTAGTCAGTTACATGAAAGTGCAAATGGTGGGTGGACCCAAAGGGTCAGGGATTACATCTGCTGCCTACACTGTGGTCTTTCACCTTCATACCTAATAGTTACCTCTTTATCTTGCATGAATAATGTGATTCCTTGTCCTGCCACTCTATGCATAAAATTACTTTCACTAAAGGGGCAAAAAAGCAATTCTCAATCTAATCCATTTTGCAAATTTGACAGTGATATCAAAGAGCAGGAAGTTGTCTGTGAGTAATGACACACTGATCATTTGTTTAAATGTCAAACTTAAACTTCAACAACTTTCAGGGAATATGTCAGTAAAGAATGGATTTCAGTTCAGCCAGAGAGGATTTCAATGTCATTTAGTCCCAGAGAAAATAGCTGTCAGTATCTTGAGAGCACAGTGCTTTGAGTAAATTCTTCTTTTTAAGCTGAATGGAATTGGCCATTTCAGCACTTGGGGCTGTGGACAGTGCTCTTTTCCTTGATATTATGAAACACATAGTCTTAACTGTAGAGGTGTTTCCTTCTTGAGACTTTTAACTCCTTAGGCTTGCAAACACGTACCCCTAAACTATGCAATTAGAATATGAAGACTATGCATCAACATTCTGTGTAAGGCCAGAATAAAGTAACAGCAAAGGGAAACAAATTTTATCACAGAGATTAAGCCTGAAATAAAAATTAGGGAAGGGAAATAGTTATGATTTGCAGCTATTCCTGCAAAACAGGTCAAATTTTTACTGCAATGCAATAATATTCCTCTCTGGATAGGATTTTGTTGGAGACAATGACAGAGCCATTAACCCTTCATGGTAATTTATTAACAGTGGACATAGATGCAAGAGAGAACAGGAAATACATTTAATAGGCTTGCAGACAACAAGGAGCAAAGAATTCATTCTCTCCATGCTTTCTAGCTCTAGAGTGGAATATCAATGGAGAATTTTGGATCTGAGGTCAGAAGAAATGGAGCTGAATCTGAATCATGTTCTTTAATAAGCCATTTCATTTCTCTAAGTCTTGTTTCTTCTTCTATCAAACATGGGTTACTTTGAGGTTTAAATGAGAGTGTATGTGAAGGAGTCTGGCACAAGGTAGGTACTCAATGGATGTTCAATTTAGATTACTTATCATTAAGTGTTGGCATAACAGTGATATGTTTCTATGCTGGCGGCCATGTGTTTTAATAGTTGTAACTCTAAGAATGGATGCCAGGAAGGGAAACAAGAAAGTCATTATTATTAGCAGACTTATCCTTATAGCAAAGGACCCTAAGCATGTGTATTTTCACCTTCATCCACCTTGTTTGCATCACCCAAAGATTCCCTTTATGTTTACCTTTAAAACAACAAAAATAGCCTGAAAACAATATAGTATTATTTTTTAAAAAAAAGTTTTCAGAGGACTTGTATCTGTCTTAAAAAAATGATATTCTACCAACTCTCTCCAGAATGCTTCTCAGTCACATACTACCAACTACTCTGCTTGCTGAATTGGTGACAGACTCCCTTGAATGCTTCCTACCCAGACTGACATACTTGGGGAGAGAAGGTAAAAATCAGATTAGTGCTGATGAGTTCCTTATCATTCTCCATTGCAGCTACAAATTCTTTGCTTTGCACTTCAAAGCCCCTCAGCCTATCTCACCTCACCCATCTTCACTTTTTGTAACTGAAAATCAAGAGCATCTTCTCCTAGCCTCCCCCATCTTCTCCTGTCATTTTCAACAGAGATTGCCTCCACGCTGCCCTCTGCATTTGAAACGCCTCCCACTCTCCATTCATCAAGGTACACGCTCCTTCCATTCACAATTCATGTTAAGTCGTCCCTGCCTTCCAAAGCTCCTTTTCTTTAAATGGATTCCCCAGTGGATTAAGTGGATTCCCCAACTGCCCTAATAAACTCCATCACCACAGCCCCATACCGCACTGCACCCCCTCCCCAACACTCTGAAATTGTGCCCAGCTGGGAAACGGACAGGGAAATCTACCTTTGCATAAGAACTCAGGGACGAATAGGGAGGCTAGCGTTTAGCTTGGTCTTGTCTTTGGGCGAAAAAAAAAAAAAAATCCATTACAAAATTTCCTCAAGCCTGGCAACAAGCATGCTCTGGAAAAAAAATATTGGTTGAGTGGATGAATGAATGAATGGATAGGAGATGAATGATTGAGATCTCTTTGGTACTTTTCTCAGATGCCCCTCCCTCTTGCTGGCTCCAGGCATGGTTCCTGTTTAATTCAGCTTCAGTGCGTGAGTGCACTTCCGTGCTTCGCCTGTCTCCACTCCCTGCCTTTTCATTACCACCTCTAGACAGAGCCTAACCTCCTCGCCAAAGGACACTCTACCTGCCTCACAAATCCTTTTTGACTTCAGTGGCCACAGAGAGTTTGCTCCTTAGGGGCACAGCTTTGTCCTCTCCCAGGTTTCCCTCTCCAGAAAGCCCCCGAAATCTCTGGCTACGTTACAAAAAAGAATGACCAATTTCCCCCACATTCAACAAAATCCACCTGGAGACCCTGTCGTTGCCTCCCTCTCTCCGCCTGTAACCGTGGTGATCGCAAAAGAAATGCGCTTCCACGCTTCCCCCTGCAGAAAAAGGAATTACCATTCCAGGGCTCGGTCCTGGTTCCGAAAATCAGAAAACTTTTTTTTTTTTTTTTTTTTTTTTTTTTAACAGAAAACCCCACCCGGAGAGCAGCGACCTCTTTGTTTGCATCCCAGGGGGGAGGGAGAGGTCTTCAGAGCCTTTGCAGCCCGGGGCGGAGGAGACGTGACAGCCCTCTGGAGGGCTGCCCGGGACCAGACTCACCCAGGACATTCCCAATAAGAGCCACCACGAACACGATGATGTACCCAGCGATCAGGACCCACTCATATTCTTTCGGGTGTAGGTATTCCCTCCACAGGTACCGCAGGAATTCCTCGTCGTCATAGTCGGTGGGGTTTAAAAAGGGCTCTTGAGTTTCATTCAGCTCCGAAGCAGATGACCAGTTGCGACAAGGGGGGGAGTCCTCCAATTTGGTACCGGACATCACGGGCTCGAGTCCGGTTCTGCTCAGTGCCGCAAGCCGCTCTTCGCCTGCCCCATGAGCACTGTGATTTGCGGTGCGAAAGGCTGCGCGGAGACGCGAGAAGGGGCTCCAGAGCAGAAAATGACGTGAAAAGTTACTGAGCCAATGCCTCCGGAGTCTTGTGCCGGGCAACTTCTGCGGCGGCTTCACTGTCTTTGTAGACGATTTTGCACCGTGAAGAGAGGCGGCTGAGGAACTAGGGACCTGGCACTGGAGGCTGCAGCAATGACACCGTGGGGAGAAAGCTACCTCGGGCTCGGCTCGGGCTCAATTACTCCTCATTCCAGCACTGAGTCCACAGCTCACAGCCTCCGCCTGCGCTGAGGGAGAGCTGAAGCTGAAGGAGGGTGGGAAGGGGTGGGGGAGTCATAAAAATTATTTTAACCTATTTCTCCGTGGGTTAAATCTCCCGCTTTTCTACTTTTCTCCTCCATTTCTCACATGCAATTTCCATAACCCATACACAGACATGTGTATGCTATGGACATGACAAGCATGTTCACCCGTGGTTAATACAGGATTTGTTGATGCATTTGTCTTTTTAATGTCAACATTTAAGTAACGAAGAGGAGGCCACTGTGTTCCTCAAGCAGGACTACGCAAAAGTCATTTCAGGCAAACCTTTTCACATTTGTTTGGCTTTGACAACTTAGCACTTGCTGAATCTTGAAGATATCGCCTCCACTCCCCCTTTTCCAAACTGGGGAATGAGACGATTTTTGAATTGAAGGATATATTTAGCTGGAATTTGTACTTGCAAAACCAAGTGTCATAAGAAACAGAGCAGCAAAAGCTTGAAGGGCACAAGGGTCATAAACGTGCTAATAGTTAATGTTGTCAAGCAAAGGAGACGTCCACATGTTAAACAGATCCTTAGGAGGATGTTGTGGTATAAGCAGAAGTGCTCTCTGGTGAATACCACACCCCACTGGTCTTTCTTCTTACTGACTCAGGACTGATGTCACCTGCCACTCTCTAATGAAATTGATTTAATCTCTAAGAAGTATATTTTGGGATTCATCACAGTATGAGTTCAGGATCCTTTCGTTCTCAATATCCATGATAGGAATATTGCATTTGATTATAATTCTGGATATGGGAAGGGACTCCAACATCACCTAGCCTCAACTTCGGTTAATATTAGAAGCCTTCTAATAGCATTGCTGATGTTTCCCCACCTGGTTTGGATGGACCACCTTAACTTATGACTTCCACCATCATGGGGCTGCTCTGAAACTGCTCCTTACATTAAAATAAGGTCTTAAACCAACATACAATTTTCTTAGCCTTCTACCCTCAATACCTAGTTTGCCTCTTGGGGCTACATGGAATAAATCTTCCACATGACAACCCTTCATATATTTAAAATAAGTATCACAGTCTCCTTCCCTTTCCTCTACTTTTTCCCTAATTAATTCCATTGTTTTTCAATGACACTTTCCCCAAAACTCTACTCATGTGGTCTTCCTTTAAGACAATTCTCAATGTCTTGCATAATATGAAACTAGGAGGAGATACAGTAATTTGGTTTGGGTCCTGCTGGTACAAAATGTACATTATCATGTAGATGCAACCAATGTCTGTATCTAATTCCTTTTTTTCAAATGTCACAAGACACTGTTGATTGGTATTGAGTGTTAAGTCAATCGCCCTAACTCCTACCCTAGGCATAATTCTTCACAGTTGTTTTGTACTCTATAGTTGGAAAATGTTTTCATACACATTGTTGTAAAACTGCTGAGGGGATGACATGATTAGCACTGTTTTACAGATGAGGAAACTGTTCTGGAGAAATTAAATGATTTACCAAAAGTCAAGTGACTAATCTATGGCAAGACCATCCATTTCTTCTGATCCCAGCTTGGGGTTTCTATTATTTTACAGATGTCATATTTCACAAGAAATACTATTGTTATAGTTTTCCCATCTGCACTAGTCATTTTTGTTAAAGATTTTATTTATTTATTTGACAGAAAGAGCAAGAGAGAAAGAGAGCATGAATGGGGGCGCAGAGGGAGAGGGTGGAGGGAGAAGCAGGCTCCCCAGTGAGCAGGGGCTCCATCCCAGGACCCTGAGATCACGACCTGAGCCAAAGGCAGACGCCTAACCAACTGAGCCACCCAGGTACCCCAAGCATTAGTCATTTTTTAAGAGAAGAAAATAAATAGGCCTTTGATTTCTTTGACAAATATTTACTTAGTGTTTCTATTCCACTCAGTGATATAAGTTAAGCAAGGTTACCATTTTCATGAACTATACTTTCTAGGGAAGTTAGAAAGCGAACAAATCAACTACTGAATACATAAGAAAATAATAGGAAGGGATAAATGTTATGATGAAAACAAAATAGGGTGAAGTGATGGTAAGTGGAGAATCCCAAAGGCCATGTTAGAAACAGATGGTCAAAAAGGCCTGTGTGAAGAGGTGACAGCTAAGTAGGATACCCACATGATGTATGCATGTATTAATTTAATTTTGTTAATTTGGGGTTTAACCAGATCTTAAATGCTGCTGTTATTATCCAAAGCATTAGCCATTTCACCAGACCTCTTGTCATCAGTAAATTTGACAAGCAGGCCTTCTGTGGCTTCATTCAAGTTCACTGATACAAATCTGCTAACTTTATCCTGTGGTATAATGTGTCCCTCTGATTTATTAATGTCTGGTTTTTCCTCTTCCATGTATGATTCTTTTAAAAATGGGAAAGGTTGTGGCTACTTTAGTTGCAATCTATATTCATTAACGTCTTCAAATTTCTTGTCGTTGACAATCCACAAACATGGACCCCGTATACTGTTTTGTAAGTACTCAGTGCCATTAGGGTTTTTCTGTGTGTGGCACTTCAACTTGTTTCTACTTCAATCTGTTCTTTTTAAGTTTTCTACCTGCAATTAATCATCACTCTACTAAAAGTATAAATAAGGAGAAACAAGAATAGTTTCAAGATTTTGTTCTGATATCGCTTTCTGTTGCGACAAGCCTGGATATTGATCTTGAAAAGTATTCCATTTCTTTCTGTCCATAATTTGTCGGGCACTTTATTTTAAATACATGGTACTCTATTGCCATACAAAAATTCACTCAAATCTTCAAATTTTCATTTTATGTTTTGTAAACATGTTAGAGATGATAAATATTACAGTACTCATTTTGATGTAATATCCTTCTTTACATCTCTTGATATCTTTTAGGGCATTTGAAAATAACTTTTAGTTCTGTAGGTATTGTTTTCTTCAATTCAAAATCTTTCTGTTGGATGTATGTAAAAGGAGTCAGCCTAATAAAGCATGACAATTAAAAAAAAGTTCCAAATTTGTCTAGTGATGACCTCTTAAGGTTGTTATCAGAATTAAATGAATTGATATTTTTAGAACAGTGTCTGGTATATAGAAGGGATCTGAAAATATTTGTTGAATATAATTTAAAACTATGTGATCTAATGGTGTGAATATTATTTGCTTTACATATCAATTCCTCTAAGTGATTATTTTAAAAAAAGAAAAATGTAGCTCACAATAGTCTGAGTAATTCTGTTTAACTAGCCATCTTATACTTTTTTCTGTAGCTTTTAGCTCTCCGACTAACCTGAATATATTAAAAATGAGAAAGAAAAAGAAAATAAAACTCAAAGCCAGATTTTTTTCCCCCCAGTGGTTGTAGTTAGGTTGTTCAAAGATCTCAGATTACATGGGCTGTCCCAGATTTTATATTCTTACTCCTGATGCCAGACTATACTTTTTGCAGCCTATAATAACTTTATGAATCCATTTCATGAAATATTTCTGAGTATTCCCTATGTGCCCAGGAGTTAAGAGCTGGAGGCATAAAGATCAATAAGACATAGTCTGGCCTCAATGATCTCACAGTGCACCAGAAAATTAGAAGTGTTATGATTATAGAACCACTCTGTGAGTTTCTAGGGTAGAAGGATGCAGAGAGTGTCATGAGAACATGAAAGAACACCTAATTCAGCCTGGAGAAAACCAAAATGGATGGCTCCCCCACAGAGAAAGTCACTCTTGAGCTGACTCCTTGAAGAGAAAGAGATTACTAGCTGGTTAGGGATGGGAAGTGTTCAGTCAGGGAGGGCAGGATTTCATGAAGATTTAGAAGCAGGAGCAAACATGGGGTGTATAGACAAAAGCAAGGTGAAGTGAACAAAGTCAGGCTTTCTCAAAATCTCTGGAAAATGGAATCCAGAATGGTAAGACTGAAGAGAGGGTACTAGGTAGGAGATAGTTAATGATGCTGCTGTCACAAGGGAGATAATGGTTCTGAGGATTGAGAAGAGATGGGTGTTATAAAAAAAAAATAATAATGGTTTGAATAGATATCATCCAGAATACAGCAATCTTGTTTTACTTTCTTGAAAGCTGACTACATGGTAACAATATGTTTGAAGTTTATTTATTTGTTTTGCTGTGTATTTTGAAGAATAAATTGAAGAAAGAAACAGAGAGGTGTCCCCCAGCTGACTTTCAGGTATTTGAAAAGAAGTTGTTTTCCTTCCTTCTTTTCTGTTGGAAAGAAAATGAAATCAAGTCTGATCACTCTCCGTAATGACTGTACTGAGCTTGCATATTATATCCCAAATAAATGTATTCGTTTTGCAAGAAGTTATCTGACACCTCTAGGCTCCAAAGACCACATTTTCTTGTAATATGGCCTTGCTAAATCTTTCTGGAAAAGTCCCTGGTTCATGGGAGGGCCTAGGAATCGGTTTTTCAGGAAATATGGGGGAAAGGGACCTCTGATAACCCGTTCCTCTTAGGAGAAACTCTTGAGTGGGTTACTGAGAATGAAATAACCTCATGCCCTAGAAAACTGAGACATTAAGATTCAAAATTACATGTTGCAAATTACTACAAAACATTGCTGTCTCTTTTTCTTCCCATCCTTCTTTTACTCCCCCCTTATTTACTTGTGTCTTATTTCAGACTAGGTTCTCTCTGTTCCTTCTT